TGTAATCTTCAAGTAAACTTGGGACAAATTGGTGTTAGATTTGGAAAACCTCCATCAGGATTCTTTAGAGTAGTTATAAATTTACTACCCAAACCTTTGTGAGCAGAAAGAGTCTTATTACTAATGGCACTGGAACTATGGGGGGTGGGAGGAGTGGTTTCCATCAGCCCGGCCTGCACCCTCTCCAATCCAGGACCCCTTAGGAGATGTCTGGCTGCTGGTTTAGGCCCAATCCAGCAGGATAAGGCCTAAACCAGCAGCCAGACATCCCTCTCACAATCTGGGAATGCTGGCTCCTAACTGCTTGCCTGCCTGCCTGCCTGATCACCCATAATCACCTTTGCCTACTGGCCTGATGCCCCTAACTGCTCCCCTGCAGGCCTTATCACCCCCTAATTGCCCTCCCCTACCAGCCTGATCACCCCCAAACTGCTCCCCACTCCTGGCCTGATCGCCTCTAACTGCCTCTACCTTGGCCTGTGTCACTGTGGCTTTGTCCAAAAGGATGTCTGGTCTAATTAACATATTACCCTTTTATTAGTCTAATTGCTTCACCACTAACTCGCACCTTAATCTATTCCTACTGGGATTTCATCCTTTAAAAAAGTACCTAAAGGCCATCAATATCCTCTAGTTGACAAATCTAAAAGTTTTTGTAAATTATTATTCTTTCTTTATATTTTAACTAGAGTCCTTGTGCATGGCATTTGTGCACTGGGGAGGGAGGATCCCTAAGCCCAGCCTACACCCTCTGGGATCTCTTGGGGGATATCCGACTGCTGGCTTAGTAGTGGTCTTAAATCAGCAGTCGGACATCCCCTGAGGGGTCCTTAGCACTGCTGCAGAGGCGGGAGAGGCTCCTACCATTGCCTCTGTGACCGCCAGCTGTGAACCTGACTTCAGGCTGAGCAGCAGTCCTCCTGTGGGAGTGCACTGACCACCAGGGGGCAGCTCCTGAGTTGAGCTTCTGCCCCCTGGTGGTCAGTGCATGTCATAGCAACAGGTTGTTCCGCCATTCCATTGATTTGCATATTAGCCTTTTATTATATAGGATTTTAATAACACCTTTATCAACCATTTCCTCTATCTTGAAACTTTCCTTACATTTGATTTCACCCCCTATAACACAACATTCATTCTTTCATTTAAAACATTATTTTGAGGGGGCCATTATATGCTAAGGACCATGACCGATGCAAATTCTTTATCTGATTTATCCTTTCATGTTCTAGTTAGTTTTGCTCACCAAACCCAAACTGTAAATAGGAATATTTCCCAGAGTTTGTTCCCTAGTTTTCTTTCTGCTTCTGAGTCTTTCCTCTGCGAGGGTCCACTCACTGATGACTTGCCATCTGCATCTCTAACAGGAATCCCAGATTTCCACACTCACACAGCTTGGGCCCATGTAACTCAGAAATTGTCCTTTCTCTGCTCAAACCAGTTGCTGCTTCTGACCTCTCTCATTGTTCTCATGGTTCTCACAGTGCCCAAGGCTTGGTACCTGTCTGTATTCTTTGTGTTTTGCATCACTTCTAACCAGTTGTGAAATACTTTTTCTTCTGAAATATACTTCACTTTCGATTCTCTAGACTCGATCTTGGCTCTGTCCCCTCTCCTCTTACACCACAGCCTAATCAGGCGCCCAGCCTTCCAAGGTGTCTTTCTGTTCTATCTACCAATTCATCTCACACACCATTTGCCAGATAATCTTTAAAAAGCATTGCTATTCTTCTATCACCTGGTTAATCAAAACCCTTCCATGGCCTCCTCTACAATTTATTAAAAAAGTTGTATTTACCTTTATAGTTGAAATATCTAAATAGATTTTTTTTAGTATTTTGAGAAAACTGCTAGGCAAGTAGAAAATAAGGGAAAAGTAATGTTCATATCTTCAATTCAAATTGTTTTTTGATAAGTGATAACAATGGGTAAAATTTCCATCTGAGGCTCATTTTTTAAGCTGCTACTGGAAACAAGGCAAAAGGCCCATGTAAGTGCCATTTAATTGTGGAAATTGTATCCACGGAGGGGGAGAAAGAGGCTGTGCAGCCCCTTCAGAGACCCATAAGGCTGGGGAGGTAGGGTTTCTGGGCACAGCCTTGCAGCTCTGCTCCCTGTTGGTCAGAGACAGCTTGTCCCATCTCTGAAGCTCACGTGGGCTGCTCATGTGCTATCTGTGTTTCCTCTTAGAGCATTCTTGGTAATGATAAGCCCCCTCTCGCCTCATTCACCGTGCCACATGAAATTAAGTTCAGGCTTCCCTTTAGACAGTTCACAGTGGCAGATGACCAGCTAGATGGGATCCGGCTGGAAAAATACCCAGTTCTGGATGCAATAAAGGGAATGAGAGAGAAGAAAAATGGAGAAAAATAATCTGAATTTCCCACCAATGCCTTAAAGTAGTATTCATAGCTCCTAATGTCCTCACAGGGTCTCCTTTGCAAGAAGTTGTCTCTCACATCACGTGAAGACAGAGGGTCTGTAGTGAGCAATAGGAAGAAACTGTGGTCCAGAGTGCACTAGATAAGAAGGCTGAGGTGTGGCTTTTGCACTGGTGAGATGGAGGACTGATGACATGTGAGAGTGAGCCGAGAGCTCTGTAGTGAGATAACCCAGGTGTGAATCCTGCTGTCTCTCAGACTTTAACTGTGAAACCTTGGTTATGTGACTTCAGTTCCCCAAGCTTAGTTTTTTCATCTTTAAAGTGGAGCTCATCACAACTTGCAGAGTAGTAGGGAGGAATAGGAGAAATTAGAAAAATGCTGGCTGGTGTGGCTCAGTGGTTGAGCATCAACCCATGAACCAGGAGGTCATGGTTTGATTCCTGTGCAGGCGCATGACTAGGTGGCAGGCTTGATCCCGTGTAGAGGGTGTGCAGGAGGCAGTCAATCAATGATTCTCTTTCATCATTGTTGTTTCTATCTTCCTCCCTCTTTTTGAAACCAATGAAAACATACTTTTTAAAAAAGGATGATGAATAAATGGTAACTATGTTTGTAGGATAGCTATATCCTAAAACATACTCTTGTCATTGTATTTTTACAAGAGCACACCCATCTGATTCACAACAAAGAGGAACTTTCTCATTTATTGGAGACAGTTATATTTTTGTGTTTGTTCCTTGTTTCATGGTCTCTTGTGCCTATTTTTTTTAAGATCTTGAGTTTTTTTCTGGCTTCATTTTGACAAACAGAACTTTGATGTACACTGAATTCAATAGAATAATTCCCTCTGCATGTAACTTCAGGTGGTAGGCACGGCAAGGAGGGATTTTGTTTCCCTTTCTTTAAAGTCAAAGGCAGAGGAACCTAAAAGCAGAAGTTTGTCACTTTATCAATTTTCTGTGTTCTCTCCCTTTCATCTAAAAGGTACAATTATCCTGGTCAGATGCCGACTAAACTATGGGAAGGGAAACCGTGGGTGGCAGGTGAGAGGCACACGTCTTTCAGCTTCAGCAGGCCTCCTCTGGCTTGATGTTCAGCTACAGATAATGCTGACCAGATGGAAAATAAGGGGCCGTAAATACCTCCATGCTTCTCGGGATAAAGTATCAGCCAGTACCCATTTTTGTTTAAACAAAATATCCACGTTGGCATGGCCTTGAGAGATGGAAGTACTTAGCACTAACCTTGACTCTGAACACGAGAAAGGAGGAAAAACAAAACAACAAAGGGATCTTGGAGTTGGCTAATCTTCATTTCCATAGCAGCAAGAGAAGGCCTTGGAGGGACCATGAATGTTACTTTGCATTGGAAAATGAAAAAAATGAATATTTGATGTGAGTAAATATAAGTCTTTTAGTGATTTTTTGGTGCTCAAATTTAGGCATGAATAATGCTCGAAGAATTTTATTATTTTCTGAGGCTAGTGTTTAGGTAGGTGAAAGCACACTACCTGGAGAAAAATGTTCTGGGTCCTACAGATTATAAATATCAGTATCTCCACCCAGGAGCATGATAAAAGAGCTTTCTGGCTACTGAAGAATAAGAAGAAGACTAAAAGTGGATGTTTTTCTGAGGATGACAGAGGGGGAGAAGAAAGGTATAATGTGTTATAATGATAACCCAATTCTACATTTGTCACTAATGCTTTGTATTCAGAGCTCAGGACTAAAGAGCGGATGCCTTTCCCCTTGGGAAAAACAGCAGAAATTACATGTAAGGATCATTATTTCAACAACATCTTTTATTTTAAGATGTATGTGCTTTGGAAGCATACATCAGTCAGGCCTCTAAAGCACTATTCAATGCATGCATTTTACGTGGGAACTAAGCAAGAAATACCATGATTTGTTAGAGGCCAGACTGAAAATTGAATTTAGGACTTCTAAACTCCTCTTGCTATTTTCACTTAAAATAGCTGCATCTTTATGATTATGACATATACAAAATGGAACCTTTTGATTCAATCTAGTTTTTAATCAACGCTAGTTCCATTTAGAAAGGCCCAGCATAGAATTCATAGGAGGTAAACATAAGAAGGAGGTTGATGATACTTAAGTTAGAAAGGGTTACAAAAAGAAGAATCTACAGATGAGAAGAGACTGCGAGGCTGAAGTGGGGGCAGCATTCACGAGTTTGGGTTTGTCTAATTCTTTGTGACCTTGAATTCTATGATGGGAAAAAGGTTGGATTTTTGAGCCAGGCCACATGAACCTGATGTCTCTGTATCTACCCACGTGTCTCTCTGATCAATCTATGGGTCATGTTCCTCTGGATTATGTTTCTGGCCATTTTTTATAGCTAATATGGCTGCAAGTATACTTGGGAAGAGATCTCTGGTCTTCTGCCTATTCTCAAGATCTTCAAAAAGTGTCTGCAGCTTCAAAGATCAAGAGCAGTAAACATTCACATTTATACATTTTGGGAAACAAGAGCATGCCAGAAGCAGGGCACTCAAGACACAATATTTTGGGTTTATTGTTTCTATTGTACAATTCTCTTTCAGCTCAGACATGATTGATAAAGTCAAGTGCACCGGAAAAACACACACATATTTACCTCATAGTTTCTTTCCTGTGTACAGTCACATACATTTCATAGACTCTCCCTTGGGGAATGGCCCCAGCAGGAATCAGTAAGCTCACTCCTGAGTAGCAAAAGAGAAGAGGAGAAGTTATATAAGACGTATAGAATCAAAGGGAATCTTCACAGAATGCCGTTGAAGCAAGTGAAAGGGAATGAGATTTTGTGGTCACGTAGCCATAAGCCTACTTTTTCTCTAAAAACATGCAGATATTCATGGCTGCCTGGCTTTCTTTCCTTATTGGCCTTATTTGTTACCACAGCTCCCTCTGAACTGTTATAGAATTAAATGGATGATGTTATTTTTTTTTTAATTCTTGCTTTATTTAAGGAATAGACAGATGATTCCAGTGTCATTTTCCTTGTAAAAGGAGGGGAAGACCAACAACTGCTCTTAAAATTTCCAACAGCTATAATGATGCATTGCTTCTAATTAAAAGAAGAATCCCCATAGGATTCTAAGTCAGAGAAAAACTAACTTCAACAAAATAAACATACATTTCTGAATTGTCTGGTTAGCATCAGTGTTATTCTGGGATAGAATAATAATTGATGAAGAACTCCTTTCATTCTATATAACTCCAGAAAGTGAACAGAACCTACTTGTTGTACTCACAACCCATCAAACAGGCTTTTACTTAGTTGTGAACTGGTACCATTTTGTAGGACATTGCATTGACCTCTGTTCTAGTTAACTGTGCTTATAGCAATGGCTTGCAACTTGAACTTGCATCAGAATCACCTGGAAGACTTGCTAAAACATGGATTACTAGATCTTACCCCCGGATTTTCTGATTGCCCAGTTCTAACAGAACTTGCCGAAACCGGTTTAGCTCAGTGGTAGAGCATAGCGTCGGTCTGTGGACTGAAAGGTCCCAGGTTCGATTCCAGTCAGTGGCATGCACATTGGTTGTGGGCACATCCCCAGTAAGGGGTGTGCAAGAGGAAGCTGGTCGATGTTTCTCTCTCATCGACGTTTCTAGCTCTCTATCTCTCTCCCTTCCTCCTCTCTGTAAAATATCAATAAAATATATTTAAAAAAAAGAACTATTGATATATACACGCTTGCAGCTGTAACAAGCTGTTAGGTGATGCCAAGATTGTTGCCTGTAGACCACACTGCAAGAACCACTGGCCTGTTCTGTTGCAGCGTCACCTCAAAGAGAAATTCAGAGTGGGCAGCAACCTGAAGGTACTCAGCTTCATGATTTTATTCCAATAAAGGCAGCTTATTCCAACTCACTAAAAATTTATGGAGCAGCATTGTGAGTACAGAGTTTTGGCATTGTTGTGAATGCCAAGAAATAAAAGGGTTCTTACCTTTGAAAAGCTTGTAATTTAACTAGCAAGGAAGTGGAATGCGCTAAATGAGCACAGGGCAATAAGAAAAATTGCCTGAGCACATTGGAAAGTTTGGAGATGAAAGAATGGAGAGTTGAGGAGAAGTAGGAATTCAAGTCCTGTGTAAAACTGGTTGGAAATGTTGAGGCCTGGCTTTCCTGAGAAGGCGAGTAGTGTGAGGGCTGTGCCACTGTGGGACGTGCAGTGTCACACTGGTGCAGGGAATGGGCTATTGAAGCAGCCAGGCCACACCTCAGGCTACCACGCCTCCGCGTTGTTCTTTTTTCCAATGGGAACAGTAAAATGTACCTGGGTATGTGTTATGGGGATGAAATAAAATTATGGATGTAAAATAACAGGAAGAAGGCCTGACATACTTTAGGGAACTATTGTTACTCTTTTAAATAAAACTGTGTATGTAAATCACCTTTGCTTAGTACATAGAAAGTATTTAGCATATGCTGTTTTCTCCTTTTCAGTTGAGAAGCCTCTATAATAATTAATCTATGAAAAGATCTCATGTGTAGAAATGGGGAGAAAAGGTAGACTTCAGTGAATATAATTAAAAAAAAAACACACTGTCTTGTGAATAATATGTTTAAACAATGAAGAGTTATAAAGGATATGTTTTCCTATCCATTTGATAGACTATTAAAATATATTTAAAATAATGGTTTTTAATGCACATACAAGAGGATAAAACTTAATGATAAAAAGGTAAAGAAAGCATATCATATACTATATTATCACTACTATGTAAAATGTATAGAAAAAATAATATTTCATCAACTATTTCAATTTCTTAAGGTATACTTTTAAAGATATGGGGTGAAAATTACCAAGGCATTGGGGGACTAAATTAGAGAAATAATCAAAGACATGTTCATATCCAGACCATAAAGACCAATTGGTTTTCTATGTGGGCTGTATGGCTGGTGACACATTATATGGTTTTCTTATGTTACATAAAAAAAAATTGTTTCTTAATGTTGCATTTGCAAAATACTCAGTTTTGTCCAAAGACTGAAGTGTGATTCACAGTGGAATCCATTAACTCTCTTATGACTCCATAGTTCCAAACTTATTACTATTACTGACTTATGAATGCCAATGTTTAACCATCACACTATCAGTCACTAACTTAAACTCATAATTTAAGACCTTTATGAGGCTTATTCTCTCGAGGCTGATAACTCAACAGTAAACTAAAAACTAAATAATAGTACCAAAGGACACACGTGGAAGCTGTGGTTCTAGATAGCTATATCAGAAGCAGGAAAGTATCTTCTAAAACCTTGAGGCTAAAGACTGTGTAATAAAGAGTTAATAAATAATGACTGGATGTCTAGTAGGATGTCCTCTGATCATCTAAAAATTAGTGTTCTGAAGTATTGCTTCCTCTAATGATTTGGAACTGAACCAACTGATACGTTTTCTAATTAATTTGTCCTGTTTAAGTGCATTGACAACAGCGAGAGCTTCTGGCTGGATGTGCCTTGTGAAGCTCTGTTAAAAGAAGGTCAATGACAGTTCTAAATGACACTTGGGCAGAAAGTTGTGAGCATAATATTTATAGAGGAAGTGTTTCCAGAATTGGTTGCAGGAAGATGAATGGTTTTGCTGCTTTTGTCTGAAGGAATGTAGATTTACACTGAAAGTAGAGTTGGGTTAGGTAGCCTATATTTAACTTTTCAGGCCTAACAAAAAACAAACAAAAAAGATTTTGGTACAGGAAAAAAATGTTGTAAAACTCTATCTTTGTGTTTTAAAACCTTTAGGAATTACCTGAGTTGGGAACAATAAGGTGGCCCCCGAGGGAGTTGAAGGTGCCAAACGCAGTACAGGATGGATCAGTCTGCTTTGCCAGGCTCTGACTCTTCAGGTTCAGGGCCTCATTCTCCAACAAGGACTGGGTCATCTGAGGGGACAGCTTTGATGCAAACTCAGAGAGGTCATCCTGGGGGGTGACAGCACCTGAGGTGTTGTACACTTTGATTTTCAGGTTGGGCAGTGGATCCAGAATTGGAGAGTTGGTCATGGGGATTTTGTCCGAGACATCGTGTAAGGCATAGACAGGCCCCCTGTACATGGCTGCAGCTGATGTGAGGTCTGGAGGTACTGCCAGGAGATCTGAAAGAGAAAAGGAATCTATTCAAATACTTCATCCAGTCAACTTACATTAGTCAGTCTTCCCCTGACACTTTCTGAGTCAAAGGCAAAGAAACTCAGCAACTATTAGAGATGTATGGACTCTTAAAAACAAGGCAATTAGGTGACAAGAATCCATTTTATTATTGGCTGAAAATAAATAGACAGATTCTGTATTTTGCCTTGAAGCCTACTCATTGCTCTGAAGGTATTTAATGATTTCATCAGAGGAGAATCCTAGATTGTGAGGCCCTCCCCATCTCCCCCAGGTGACTACAGATAATAGCCTCCATTGTATCTACTGGATTTTGGTTCATCCGTACACCACTGTATTTGTAGCAATACAAGGTGTCCTGTCAAAAGATAAAAAAGGGGATGCAAGAATCGAACAGTCCATATACTTTTCAAATAAAAGCTAAAAAGTATGACAGAGAAACCTGTTAGAGAATAATAATAATAATAATAATAATAATAAAAAACAAGATTCATGCACCTTGTCAACTCCAACATAAGCGAATGAAGTTAATACAGTAATTAACAAAATAGATCTACCTCCCTAACTTCATGGAGCTGAACTGGCTATTTCACTGATTTTAAAGCCACACAGGGAGGTTACATATTTGCATAAGTTGTAGATGTGAAGTTCAATGCCAACTGACCTTGTCTTGCTGCCTTAATGTTCACAGGCTGAAAGCCTCCATTGAGTGCCGAAGAGTCAATAATATCAGATTCAAAATCACGGTGATTCTTTCGATACACAAAGAGGGCCACAACCACAGAAATGGCCAGGCAAACAATCACTGCTATCACGATGCCAACATACAGAGCAATGTCATCTGAATCGGGAGCAGCTAGACGGGAGAAGGAGACATTGGGCCAACTGGTTAGAGACATTTCTCTCAGTAGACATACGTATTGCTATAATTTTCTCAGACATTTATTGTCCTTTTTTATAGGTTAATTTCAAATCTAATCCAAAAGCTATAAAATACAACTGTGGCCTTTCAATGGAAAATTATTCCTGATTTCTTTTCCTTCCCTACTCGGCATCTATCCACCCACTCATCTGTCTTAAATGGGGCACCATAACAGATCGTTTATTCCAAGGCATCAAAAGAAACCTTCCTGACCCATAGGAGACAAAAAGCTTATTGCAAATTTCAGGTGGAAAGTTTGGAAGGTGGCTTGAATTCACTGATAGTTCTCTCAAAACATAAACATAAACCCTCTGCTAGAAATATCTGGCATGTTCTGAATCTGTATATTTATTGAACCAGAGTGTTTTCCTAGAATCCTTCCAAGTCATAAAATAACTCTCTGTAGCACTCTTCTCACTTTCCCCTAAATCAGTGAGTGGGTGGGTGGAAATGGCATAACTACGCAAAGCAAATATTAGGGGCAAATATGTTGGACCTGAAAGGTGTGCTTTCAGAATTCCCAGTTCTGAGGAGCAAGGGTCACCCCCGGTAACTCGGACTTTTATACAGAGCTTCTCACGGTCTCCTGTCAGAGATTACATTTGAGCTACTCATTACTGGAATAAAATACAGCTCTACGGTGTATGAAGTAAGATAAAGGCCTGGTTCAGTGATCAGAAAGGTCTGACTAGCCCTGAAGGCAATTAAGCATTTGACCAACACAGTGTGTGGTCAGATGGGATTGGGGGTGGGGAGGGGGCTGTTTCTGCATAAACAGAGAAGAAAATTCTTGTAAATATTACATGTTGCCTTGGTGGCATAGAACATGCTTTGATCCAACGGCAAAAGGTGATAAAGAAAATAAAACAAACAAAAGTAAACCTTTCTGGAATCCTATTGACATCTTTAATCTGTTTTTAGTTTTCTGGGACCAACAAAAATGTTCAGCAACGTTAACAGAAGCTTCTTGGCTCATTGTAAAGGAGGTGACTAAACAGGTACTTCAGGTGGTCAACAGCCTTTTGATGCTCAATTTTATATCTACATGCATTGGGGGGAGTGCAGATTTGTAGGTCAGAGAGCTGAGGAACCACTGCTCTCTCCTAAGTCTCTTAGACACAAGCTTTACACAGTGAAATGACTTCATTCAAATTGCCAGTGGCTCAGGGAACCACCTACAGGGTCCTGTCATGATTTCTTGGAAGCACTGGCAGTATAAAAAAATTATCTGTTGAAAGATCACTGCATCTCTTTTAGAATTTTGTATTTAAATGCACTGTATGTGACAGGATTATTTTTTTTTCTTCTTTTTAAACCACTGTTTTTCCCAAAGTGTCCAAAATATCCGCTTTCCTATCAATCAAGTTCGTATGCACAGATCTTTTCAGAAAACTAGTGGCATCCGTCCTGAGCACGCTTGGTTGTGTGGGCTTTGCTTTCAAAGTGCTGACTTCAGTCTGCTGGATCCTGTCCTAGGCCCTGCAGCAGGTTTCTGAACTCTGGTCTGAATATGATATCAAAATGCTTAGAGTTTTATTTTACCAGGCTGCAATTACTTATTTAACATTCATGATTTCTAACGCATGTTCTCAACCCTTTACTTTTTTTTTTTTTTTTTTTTTTTTTTTTTTTTTAGCATTTTAACCCAGCCTTCTATTTACATCAGCATTTTTTACAATATGTTTTGTCAGCTACTGGACCCAAGCTTTGGATGTAGGCTGATAGGTTTGAAAGCTGGCAGAGACTCGAAATGACCCTTTCTTCTCTTTCGCGGTGAAAATCTAATTTGCTTTTCGTGTTCGAATATATTAGGCACCTATTTCCTGTGTGCACATCTGTGATCTAAGGAAAGGTAAACTTGAACTGGGGGCAATAACGTTAAAAGATTATTCGGCAACATAAAAACCAAACATCAGACTTACAAGAAAATCCATATTCATTCTGCGTTCTCTGTTCAGTTGAAATAGGATAAATGAAACCTTGAAAAGAAACAAAAAATGAAACAAAAATAGGAACAAAATCAAATCAACAAGGAACACAAAATAAAAAGCATGAAAGATGGTTAACGAAAAGAAAAGGAAAATCACCTCGGGGTCCTTTAAAATTCAGGTTCAGTATAGAACTATGCTTTTGCATCTCCTTTCTGCTCTGGAGTCTCAGGAAGAATTAATAAGTAGGCAGATTGAATTTCAGAGCAAAAACTGGTCTCGAGTCACTAACTTTGGAGTGCTTAAAGTCTTTCTTTTATTGAGCATAACTCTAATGGATCTAATTTATTTCAGACATCATGGGTCATTAGCATAAGGCAAATCTTTTTTCCTTATCCCTGCCATATGCTTTAATTCCCAGGACATATTCAGTAAAGCTCCAAACAGTTTTTTTTATTTTATTAAATCATAACAGCTTGCTCTTGGTCTAATAGAACTAAAGGAGACCTGTCGTCATTGGTCAAAGGTTAAGTACCCATTTACTGAGCTGAGCCTCCGCCACCTCTCTCTGCTCCATTTCGGAGTCCCTTTTTTGGATTTTTTGTTGTCGTTTCCTGCCCCCTCCATTTAATGGGAATCCGAGCAGTTTGTCAATGCAATGGAAACTGGAAACTTTTTATTTGAAATCATTAAAAAATCAATAGGGCCTAGAGATTACAAGGTTATTTATTTCAGGGCTTCAAAGGAATGGTGTAGATCGGGCAACATAGAAACCTCATCTCAACAGTAAAGGCAGAAATAACTAGCAATCTTATTTTTCATTCCTTTTAGCAATAGTATATCTCAAGATAGGAAACAGTAGTCATAATTATTAATAAAAATACCAATATGAAGTAGAAGATTAGCAGAAAAGATTAAAAAATATGAAACATGAACTGTTTGAAATGAAAAAAAAATTGTGGAAATTGAAAATGTACAACTCGTAACTGGCTTCTGCAGTTTTCTAATATTTAATATGCCGCAACATGAGTTAATCAAATGATCTGGCACTGTTTGGATTAATCAAATGGAGATGAATAAGAAGCATTAAACGTTCCTAGTATTACCCAAGGGCAGGCATGTAGAGGATCTACAAGAATCACAATTAATTGGTTCAAAATTAAAGGTGTGTAATGCTTTAATTCTAAATCGTGCCTCAGGTAGATTTTTTGGTAGTTTGCAGAGCACTCGGTTCTTACAAGCTATTTACCTATTTGGGGGAAGTAATGAAAGAGAGGTTTGCTGCAGCACAGACAGGTTTGCTTTGAATTAATATTTAATGCTTTACTTTAGAGCAATGATTGCAACCTCCAACTCAGTTTTATAAATATTATATTCCTTACTCCAGGTGTCTGAGTCCATGTATTAGGTCTGATTTTCATTTTAAAAGCTTCTGCCTGGTAATAACACTTTTCCATTTGTATTCTGTGAACTCAATAATAGGGCATCTGGGACATATTCAGGCACTAGAGAAAAGGTTATTTATTTCTGAGCCTCAAAGACTCAAGACAATACAAGTTCACTGCTAGGAGAGAAGCCCAGATCACTAATGTTGTCCTTTTGGTAGGGATGATGTTAAAGAGGAATGCCAGGAGATACATATTTTTGGCTGGCGAGGGGGCACGGAAATTAGTGCAAACTAGGATATTTGGGCATGATTTTTGATGATCACCATTTTGATAAGGATTGTGAGGCCTGCTCAGAGAAGCTGGAGCTCATAAAGGGAGAAGCCAACTTCCAGAGAAACAGAGCATGGGCTGAAATCTCTCCCTGTAAAGCCGTTCCGGGTTTTCTTGGCTTTTATGCCTACTTCCCAATAGAGTCCCTGATTTTGATAGTCTAGCCAGGGAATAATAAATTTTGTTTTATCATTTTGATTTTATCTCAACTTTCCCACATTTATGTAGATCTGGACCACTCCATAAACATTTTTGTGCCTTTTGGTATTTATCTGAGTCTTATATTTCACTGCAGGCACAGAACTGGAATCCATTCATCCATTCACTCATTCATTCATCCAACAAATTATCTTGAATCTTAATATATGCTGGTTCTATACTAGCCATAGGGGTACAATGACAAGTGAGATGGGAAAAGTCCCTCCCTACTTTCATTCTAGTTTAGCAGAAAAACAAACAGGAAAATAAAATGGCAAATTAAGATCCTTTCAAATTCTGAAAAAAAAAAAAAGTGATTAAAAAATAAAACAAAAGAATACAATGTGATTGGACATAAAAGGATGGCAAACTTGGGGGATCAAGTGACAATTTTTTGTTGAAAGAAAGTCTGAGCTGAAACTTGAACAATGAGAAAGAATCAGCCAAATCAAGATCAGGAGGGAACGATGCTCCATGAAGAGGGACAGTAAATGCAAAAGTTCTGGCATCAGAATAGAGTGGTTTGAGGCCAGTGAGTGAGAAGACAAAGGGCCACTCAGAGGGGTGAGCAGCAGCAAGCTCATATAGGCCCGGGAGTTCATGACAAGGTATCTAGAATTTATTTTAAATGAAGGGCAAATCCTGCAATTGAATGTAATTTTGAAAAGATCATTTGAGTTTCTCCATGGACAGCAACGTGGCATCATCTTATGGATGGTTTCTACAACACCTGGCTTGGGAGATGTCTATCAATAGTGATATCAATATATTTGATGGGATGTTTGCATTTGAGTTTGCTGGAAGATAAAATTAAGAAAAGTCTCACTAACAGTTATTCCTCATAACCATTTAGGACCAATCTAGGCAAACTGTTACTTTCCTACATGGGCATATTTAAAACAGCAGTGCTCAGCATCCTCACCAGTGGGTCAACACCCCAAAATACTCCGTTATGGGAACACTGACAAAGGGTTTCAGAGGGCAGCTTGGTGAAACGTTTTCCATCCTTTTCAAAACACTTCTGCCACCAGAAAACTCAACCATTACGAGGGAAGCTGGGAGTCAGAAAAGAAGGGCTGACTGTTCCCTCCCTTAAACAAGGGGAACAGAAGCACATTCTAGTGTTTGTTTTTACAACTTCTCCATCTCTCACAGAACAACAGGGGCCATTTTCTTCTGCTAATGAGGTGCCCCTGCTGAGAGTAGACCCAGCCATAATGAAAAATAATATCTCCGGCAGAAAACCGTACAAAATAATTGTTTTCCGTGTCACTATCAGTAGCCTGGTTCATAAGTTAGGGATTTCAGTTACTTTTCCTACTTCTTGAAAGAAAGGCCAAGTGAAAAAGCACCGTGGCTCTTGGCCAAGGTAGTGAAATTGAGTTCTTCAAGTGTGTAGACTTCTGTTTGAATCCTAGCTCTGCCCATTCCTTCACCATGAGAACTTGGTCAAACAACTGCACTTCCCAAACCATCAGTTTTCTCATCTGTGTAAGGAGACAGGGGAGAATCACTTCCATACAGTTGTGAAAAGGAGAAATGAGATTTGTAAAATGCTGGTACATAGCAAGCAATCAATAAATGGCAACTGTATTAATAACATTAGCTTGCACATTATAAGTACATTGAGATACTGGGCTCTTAATGGATTTTATTTGTAGAGTCAAGGCAACCTATTATTTAATGAGTGACCTTAGGACATTTGTTTGAATTTCAGATCCCCTAGTAATTATAGAGACAAGAAGCCCAGTTTTTCTGAGAAACCATGAGCAATGCACTCTTCTAAGTACTGTGTACTTTTTCACCCTCTCCTTTTAAAGAGGTTTATTTCCTGGCCTTTGTGGATTCTAGCAAAAAATATAGTGGCATGTTTCAGAAGCAAATGTCCAAGACCAGAGTGAAACTTGATGCTAAAACGGTTTGTCAACCAGAGTCAGTGCCACTCCTAAAAGGGGTATTTGAAAATGGGGCAGGGGATGTGTTCTTTGATTGCCATAATGATCAGGGGGTTATTAGTGGCATTTAGTGAGTGAAGGCTGAGGTTACTCACTCAATGAGGCTTGCTTGCCCATTGATTTCAGTAGCCTTAGCCATTGCCATTAGGCCACGCTAGTGCATCTACTATGGAACATGCTTATGTTCTATGACCTTCTACTTTATTTGTGTGTGTTTTTTTTTTTTTTTGGGGGGGGTTGGTATTGTTGTGTTGTTTTTTTGTAATTTTAAAGAACATATACTTTCCGATGGAGAGATTTCCCTGATCTGGGAGAATAGATGGTTACTCACTCAATGAGGCTTGCTTGCCCATTGATTTCAGTAGCCTTAGCCACTGCCATTAGGCCACGCTAGTGCATCTACTATGGAACATGCTCATGTTCTATGACCTTCTACTTTATTTGTGTGTTTTTTTTTGGGGGGGGGGGTTGGTATTGTTGTGTTGTTTTTTTGTAATTTTAAAGAACATATACTTTCCGATGGAGAGATTTCCCTGATCTGGGAGAATAGATGTTGGGTGGAGTTTTACTGTGGAGAAAAGTTAAGTGAAGACATGAACAGACAGAGTAAGAGGAGGCTGTCTCAGATACTGAGTGCCAGGAAGCCATGTCACTGACGCTCAAGATGCCATTTTAAGAGGCTATTTATTCCAGCATTTTCAGATGAGGAAACAAAATCCCAAAGTTGAGGTGAGATGTTTTAAAGTTACCAAAAAATTTGGAACTGAAATTTTATTTCACCTTCTTGGCAGTAAAGCTCAAGAAGTGGAAGTTTGGAATTTTTCAACTCTGGGTGGCCCCATTCACATCTGTGTTGACTGTAGATTTGGATTGTCTCAAGTGCGGGCAAGGGAAGAGGTAAAACCCCGCAGTAAATAAATATTTAAAAGAGAAACATTGCTTTCCTCAAATGATACCAATGTGATAAAAGGAATAAACATCAAAAATTGGAAGGACACTACACATCAGAAGAAAATCATATTTTAAAGCAATAAAAAGCTGATAGCCAATTGTTTCCACCATTTAAGAGTGCACATAAAAAAAAAAAAAGTATTTCAAAATGTGACTGATTTGGGTTCCAATGTTGGCTCTTGCCCTAATTATAGTGGACATTGGGTGGGCTGTTTCAGTTTTACACCTC